TTGACTTCTGAGTCTAAATACAAGTGCGAGCTTGCTCTGTCTTCGCCCATACAGTGGGTCATCTCAGCTCCAATCTGACTGTTTCTGAGATGAATACTGGCTTCAACCCGCACGGAGCACGCTAATCTGTTGGTGGGAGGCAGATATGAGAAGTCCTACCTTTTGAAAGGTGAGATCAAATAGCTAAGTCAAGTGGTCCGAGCCAAAAATAAACGGATTGAGCTGCACAGATGAACACACGGACCTGAGGGATGTGTTGTGACACTTCACTGAACAGTTAATTAATTGGCCAATGTGGCCAAAAACATTTTCTCCCTACCTGCCCAATCTGGAGCTGTGTGTGTGTTCACATTCAAATTCCTCTGTATAAATTAGAGACTTTTAGAGTCCTAGACTCGCAGGTCTGGTCAGAACCTTTACTGTCACAGTCTCACTTGGGAGAATGGGGAGTCAAAAAAGATGGGGTCTTACAGATGGTTAGTGCCGGAGACAAGACGGGCAGGTATCCATAATCCCGCTAAACCGCGCCGCAGCCATTGGCTAATTAATCTTTCATTTCCTCCCACAGGATGACCCAGAATTCCACTTGGATTAAGGTTAAACAGTCTACACTTCATCAGCTTTCCATTTTTTACCCTTTCTCTTTTCCTGGTCTTAACTTTCTCCTCCCATGAGTCCTCTTACTCCTTCTATTCCATTTTTAGAAAACTCTCCTTACACATGTTTCTTTTGTACAGTTTTCATGGCATTTCATCCACGTGGGTAATTCCCTCATCTGGATGACTGCTCGGAGGAGGTTTTGTATTATTTTTGGCTCGGGCATCCACTTCCTGCCGGTGAGTGACAACAGAGGCTGCCTCCCCAAACGCCCCACAGTGCTGATAAGACAGGCTGGCGGAGGGCAAGGCAGAAGCCACGAGGGGAGGTGGATCAGCCAGGCCAAGGGAATCCAGTCCCTTTGCGGCAGGATTCTGAGCTAAGGATTCGTTCTCGGCATCCACGCATCATGAGGAGAGTATTTGACATTTGGGGACTCAGAATGGCCTCATAATGACATTGGACTAAGAGGTAGTGCATCTAAATAAACACTTATCACTGTCTGTCCAACATCTGATGGGGGCCTGGGCAGCAGTAGTCACGATGTCTGAAGTTCTGGCATGAACTGAGGTCCAAGTATGCAAAGACTGTTTCCAAGTGGTCTGAATAGAAGGAGCATCACTCACACTAGAGACCTCTTCCACTGCCTGATGATAGCCTGGCTTTGACAGCACGCCGACTGCACATTGTTAACCTTGGACAGGTTTGCTCTTCTGGGAGTCTGCTGCATGTCAGCGCCCGCAAGATGGTGATGCCTGGTGAGAGGCGCGGACGGGGCTGATACGGCTTCTCCCAGCTCCGAGATTCTGCGGAGCGCACCTTCCCGCTGCTGATCCATTGCGGGGCCCTACGCGAACATTTTTATACGTGGAGATATGGCAGATGGTATACATTGAGGAAACAGGTCAAGACAGCTACTGCCTTCTAAGACCAAAAGAGCAGGAGGAGTATAATACAGAGGTAAGGAGTCCACGTGACTTCTAAGATCTAGGTGTGTTGAAAGGGGGCTCACAGGACAAGGCGTCCATCTGCTGGGGTCGGGGGTGGAGAACGGATGATTTTCTACACAAGAAAGCGAAAAGGGAGTGCGTCACTGTTGCTACTGTGAAACGGGGTCTCGGTGTCTTCTCTCCCTAACGGAATGACTTACGGGCCTTTCATCAGCTCTGATGGCAGAGAGTGCTCAGGGCCCTCTCTTGACGCAGCTCCTACATCTGGTCCTCAACAGTTTAAAAGATGACATCTGTATTCATGCCACCTCTAGCTCATGTGAAGTAGGACATGAGATGCTACAGAAATGAATCTAGAAGGCAGAAGAAAAAGGTGGAGGTCCGGAAGTGATGGGAAGGGCAGATGTTTCTGTCTGGTCATGACCCTCAGTACATCCAGCCGAACAGACACCCTGACCCAGGTAAAGTCTCTGAAAGATCTGAACGCCTCCGGTAACCTCTGTCTCATCCCACCTGCCTCCCGCCTTTCAGTGGGAATTGGTCCTCTCGGGAGTGGACCACATTACGGTGAACGCTCTCAGGGAATCTTGACAGACTCTGACACTGGGCTCTGAGTGTTCAAAGACATGTTTCCCCTGATGCTTTAGGGGTCCAGAAATAGAGGGGGCATTTGGCATACAGGCCAGGAGAGGCCAAGGTTGGAAGGGAGAGGAATGACAAGGAATCTGTCTGTTCCAGTATGATATCCAACAACAGGCATAACTCACGTCAACACAGAAGCCACCAGGAATTATGATTCCTGAAAATGTCGAGGAAAAAAAATAAACTCATGTAACACAGAGATGGGCACAAAGCAATGGCCACAATAACTCAGAGAACTGGATTTCAGCAAGGACAGGGGCGGGAGCTCTATCCATGTAGATATTGCCAAGCTGATATTTAGAAAGAGTCAGGTCTTGAGGATTTTTCGGTCTTGGCTGGGGATTGAAAAAGAGATGCCTTCTTGTGTTAATGCCTCTCTTCTGCAACCATCACACAATCGCGTGCAGGTGCGTTAGGGGAAGGAGAGCACACAGAGGACAGGTGGGATGCTAAGGGGAAAGGTGGTGGTGGACAGTGGCAGCCATGGCTGGGGACAAGAACCTGTGTTCTAGGCTTGGCCCTAAGCTAGCTGGGCGGCACGGTACTGGGCTGCAATGCAGGTACCTGAGCTGAAAATCAAAAGTGACAGCTTTCGGACCCTGGGCAGGCCTCTGGATCTCTGAGCCTCAGTGTCCTGATTTGTCAAATTAGAATGAAAAGGCCTCTCTCCCAAAACTGCAAGAAGGGGATTACGAAGATGTATGTGAAATGGCTCTAAGAACTAGCACATACTATACAAAACGGCCTAACCTGCTCATTTTCAGGCTGGCAGGCAGTACCCATAAAGAGCAAAATGCCAGGCCTAAGGGCATCGAGGGATCTCGGAACGAAGTGGGCACTCTTTGTTTAGGCTGAATCCAGCTTTCTTTCAGGACGTGGTCATGATGCCTACCTTTTCTACCTCATGTGGCTGGCTACAAAACAAAACAGATAGGGGTGGGGAGAACTTTAAGTAAAGTAATGATCACCACGTGAATGTAAACACAAGGAAAACTGCATGGCTTGAGTGGAGGCCCCTCAGAGACACACCTAGTGACTGGGAAATTTCAACCAGCCCCCAGAAATACGGTCCAACCACAAAAAGCATCTGCTGAGAAACTATGAGAACAGCAGCAGGTGTTAGCTTTTGAGATCTTGCTCCTTAAGTTTGTTAAGTTAGGAGTCTTGCTTGTAGGTTCTCAGCAATAACACATCACCATCATTTTTCTAGCACGACGTCAAGGAAAAAAAAAAAGCAGCACCCCCTCTGTCCATGGCTAGTTTTGCTGCTAGGAATCAATTCCATCCTGCTCGAAGGGAAAGTAGTAGTATTTCTCATGTGGAAGTCTGATCTGGCGACTCCTACCCTGGTGGGCTTAACTTGGGCTTTGCACACAAAAAGCCAAGCACCTTCAGCAAAGCCTGGCGGTAGGCAACGGGAAACTCAGATGAACACAACCACTTTGGGCAGACACGAGGTGTGGGCCACTTATCACCTGAGCAAATGCAGGGGGCGTGACTACTAACTGGTCTCTTCATTAACCAAGGAGAGCATCCACCACAGCAACTCACATGCTGCTGGCAATTTGAGGTGATCTTTACATGGCTTCTAACTCATAGATTTCTTCCCGAAACGTGCCGGCCTAGAAAAGGTCTCTAATTCCCCATGAATAGTCTGCCCCCACCTTCATTAATTATGGACTCTCCGGGAAGGGAATGGACAAGTGTGGGGTACGTGTTATAAATAGAGGTGAAATACTACAACCAATCTTAAACAGGGATCGTTAGACCTTTCAAATCAACCATTGGCCAGGGGTTTTGTACTATTTTGGGGCAAGGGAAACATGAGAAGTCCTTTTAGCTTCTGCAATTCCTAGGGGAGGAGTTTCTACTCTTTTCCTAGTAAATTACTGCTGTTCTACAGGAGTCTTACCTGTGTGATGTGTGAACAGGGGCAAAGTGATACTCATGTAGAAGTGTGATTTTTCCACAGCAAAGAAAGTTTGTGTGTGGGGCCAGTTAGGAAGGAAATTCCACCAGCAACTGGTAAGGAACAAGCACTTTGTAGTAGCAGCCAATACTTTAGTTTAGAGATTAGTGGGCAAATCCCACTTCTGGTGGACATGCCCAGAGACGCAGCAGTAAGGTCCCCTTGGGGGCAGAAGTTTTGCAATATCTCTCAACCAGGCTTCCTCCCTTTCGTGCATTGAAATGACAGTCAGGACTTCACTCTGAGGGCCTGACCAAGGTAGATGATCAAATGCCCATCAACAAAGAGAGGACCATCTATCCTGGGCCTATGGCTCCCCAATCAGGTAGACCTCCAGATTCATTGGTCATCAGCTTCCAATGTCCCAGCTGTAGACTTCTCAACCTAGAAAGCGTGTCCTCTAGAGAAAGGACGTCAGATAAACTAGACATGCATTCACATCCAGCTCTGACATTCTTGGGACCTTGTCAGTATTCCTACCGAGTTTTAGAGTCTTAATGCAACTAGCAAGCAGCACCGTCCGATCAGGTGAGAACATAAGACGAGCACTTTTAATAAAGAGCATAAAGATAATGTATATGGTTGTCATCTAGGTAGCTACTGGGGCTGCCCCTGGGCTCACAGTTCTCAGGCAGTGGCTCCAAGAGAGAGTAAAGACAGTAAATACCAAGTAAACAAGGTATAAAATATGCAGAAGACTCAGATGCACAAGGATGTTCATGTGGTCCCCACCTCTTTGCACACTAGTGAGTGCCGTGTACAAAAGATGGTGGACCGCTAAAGAGCACATCCAGGCAACTACACACAAGATCGTCCCAGTTTGAACAAAGACTTGGCCTTACCTGGAGATATGGAGGAGTCGTAAGAACTTCTCTCCTTGCGGTTCATCTTGAAGGCTTGGATGTCCTTTTCCCTGTACGTCCCAAAGCCTTCGTAGCTCCTCCTTTTACTCCCACTCATATCACTGTCCCACTTGTCATGTGAAGGGTTCATTTCACTGAACATGTCCAGGCTCTCCGGTCTCGCGCCGACACCATCCCCAACACTGCCTGAGTACCTTTTCGTGCACGAGTCCACAGGCTCACCGCTCAAGTCACCTTTGTCCTTGGCCTGCGTCCAATGCTGGGCATCAGAAAGTGACAGCGTAGACAGGGTGTCCACCTCGAAGTTGTTCTTAGAGGCTTTGTGGCTGGCGTCACTGTGCTGGTGCTTCTGCTTCTCCTTATGCTTGCTCTTCTCACTCAGCAACGGGAGCTCTTTGTCTGCGCTACTCAGCCGCTCACTCAGGATGTGGCTGGAGAAGCCTGTGGCTTTGCCTGCAAAGAGACCACTCAGGTTGTCGTGGGTCCCCAGGATCCGGTCTTCCTTGTGCTTATGCTTGTGTTTGTGTTTCCTCTTGTGGAGCCGACCGCTGGACAGACTGGCACTGCCAACCTTGGGAGGATTCAGGGAGGGCTGCATGTCACCAAGGCCCATGCCCACAGGTCCCTGCAGGTGTACTCCATGCTTTGCTTTATGCTTCGCCGTCCCAGACATCTTCATGTGGGAGCCTGTGTGGAACTGAGGTGGTGGCACTGTTGGCCTCATGAATGGGGAAGCTGCTCCGAGCGTGTGCGACAGGTACAAAGGAGCTGGGTACTGACTGTAATAACCAAGGTTCATCATAGGCATTGATGTGTAAGGCATTCCATAGGGTGCATAGTAACTTCCACTGGGAATAGGGTAGCTGAACCCTTGTAAAAAAGGCACCTTTGTCATGGTGTCATTGGTTTTTGCAGGCCTACCACGCTTCTTCTTTGACTTCAAGTCGGAAGTCCTACGGAGATAGAGCAACGGGTCATACTGGATATACGGCACCGGGTAATAGTGATCAAAATTAATCCGAAAAATGCTGGGGTACGGATTCTCGTGGTAAAAGGTGTAACTCCGGTGGGAAATCCGGAACACCTGGAACTTGGTGATGAGCTCTTCCAGGTCTGCCAGGAACTGGAGATCATCACGGTTTTGCAGGCTTTTCCGTTTCCTCTTGTGCTTTGGCTTCTTGAGGCTTTCGTGGGCCAGAAAGTTGTCCACGATGAGATGCTTCTGCCGGTGGCCGTGCCGGTTCTTTGTGCTGGTGTCAGACGGAATGGCCTCCGGGTTGTCCAGGGAGCAGAAATCAAAGGAGTACCTCCGCCGGGATTCTGAACTCTTCTCTGCTTGGTCAGACGTGCTATTGTTGTCTGTCCCGATGCCACTGTCGCTTGGGATCGTCTCCTCGCTGTGCGACTCACTCACAGGGGACAGCGTTATTTCCTTGAGTGACCCGATCTCGCAAAGGTGTGAAGGTGAGTTGGCCATCAGCCTGGGTGGAGACAGCTTCCAGGTTCCACTGTGTATTCCCTTTTGGGTTTTGGTTGGAAGAGCACTGATGGGCTGGAGATTTGGCATAGTTTTCAACTCTGAAAAACTGGTTTCAGTGCTGGCGGGGCTCAGGTTGCCGTTTGACCCACCTAACTGTGTGGAAAGTGGGTGCATAGTTGCTGGTGAAGACGCCACAAGTGACTGAAAGTTGGAAGGCACGGCTGGAACATCCGGCTGGCTGGAGACAGGCCTTGGGTGCTTGATGGCTGTTTTGGGTTCTTCGGATGGGGGTGGCAGCTCTGCCCTTGGCTTCCTGCCCCTCTTCTTGCCAATGTAGATGGTTCCCCTCTTGCTGACATTAATCTGCTTGCCCAGTTTGCTCTCAATTGCTGCTGCCCCAGGGCTGGTCTCCGGGGGTGCTTTAGCCTTCAGAGCGATGTTGCTGGAGCAGGACAAGATCTGGTTCAAGATATTTTTCCTCTTGAGTGTTTTCATCTTATTGATGGTTTTGATGGTCTTCTTATCCAACACCCCAAGCTTTCCAACTTTTTTGTGAAATTTCATCTCGCTCATGGGTTTGTCCTCTCCTGGCACTAGCTGGGCCAACTTAGCTAAACTGCGTCGTCTCTTTCTCTTCTTGGAGCCAGGAAATTCCCGGCTGATGGGACTGACCGGACTGGTGGACGTCCCCTCATGAATCGTCTCAACCGTGAGCAGAGGCTGCTTCTTTGGTCGTCCCCGCTTCTTTTTGACAGGCGTGATCACAGTAAGACTGTCTGTGTTGGTGTAGAGAGGGCTGGATGGGGTGATGGGATACGCGGATGGCGGCTCCACCATCAGTTTGTCGGAGGTGGCCATGACCGCCTCTCGAAGCATACTGGTGGGTTTGGGCTTGCTGCACGTCCACCTCCGTTTTGCAGCAAATTTCGGATGCTGGATTTCCGGCAGCTTTCTTGACGGAGAGTGATCTGTGCACGTTGGAGGCGTCATGACCATGGTTGGCTTCCGTTGCTTGGACACACCTCCTGGGACGACTTTCTCGGCATTCCCACCCGTTTCGAGGCCAATGGAGGGGGACTCGTTCTCTATCATTTTACCCAACTTAGGGACACGGGGATCCTTCTTATTTCCTTCAGGGCTGGAAAGTATCCTGTTGACCACTTCACTGCTCATCGTGATTCCAGAAGCCAGAGCTTTCTCTGGCATGATCTTTTCCACCACTGCTTTGATGGACTGTCTCTTTTTCCTTTTATGGCTGGTTGGATCTAGACAGGGCGCCTTGATCGGGATAGTAATCCGGACATGACTCGGGTCACTTTCAGGATTACTGATGGAACTCACGTTCTGCCTGGCTGGTGATGCCACCTGGGCATGATCGGCAGAGTAGCCTTCCCTCTTCCCTTCTGCACTGTCAAATGCTTTCTGGGCATTCTTGACCCAGTCCAGGTCTGGGTTTTGTATGGTTTGACTTATCACATCCTTTTTACTCGACTTTTTCTTGCTGCTTACGGTAGGTGGTTCTGGGGGCTCCTTTGCTCCTCCCCCATCTTGATCAACCAAGGTCTGAAGCCCGCCGCACTCGGCAGAGCTGCTGGGAGGGGCGGGCGAGCTGCGGTTGCTTGGGGATGGAACCACGCCTCCCAAGAGCAGGTCTTTGCTGCTGTTGGACAGCTGACTCCATGGGCTCCCTGCACTGCCTTTCTTACCCTGGGCCTTTGCAAAGGAAGCCACGGGCTCAAGAGCTGGGATCTTGCTGGTGCTTGCGGTTTCTCGGCCGGACTCTGGACCGATGAAGCAATTCTGAGTGGCAGGTCCACTGTCGGAGTTGGTGGACCAGTCCATGTGGTTCTGGCTGCTGCTTTTTTGCTGGTGCTTTGGTTTTAAGGTGTCACCGGTGAAGTCTTGCGGGAGGCCCGGGTCGTAATGGAGAGCTGAGTGTTTCTGTGGCCGCTCGTACGCCTAGAGGGGGGCAGAGTGGAGAGGGAGAGAGAGAGGGAAACAAAGATAAGCATGTTGGAGCTATTCAAAATTTAATTTCAAAAGGTTTAATGATGTGAGGGTTGGAAACAGCCGCATGTAATTCCAGCAGGCTTCACGAAGGGTTTCTCAACTGCAGCCGTCATAATGTAATGCGCTGAATTTGAACATTGAGAAGGATGCTTTAATCATGTCTCCCCCCCTAAATAATAGCAATTTTAACCTATCGGGGTCAAATGCGCTCGGAGAAGATGAACTGTTCAGAGAGAGAACCTGAAGATCACTGAGCTCACTGCTTGCCTTTTACAGGTGCAGAAGCTGAAACTTCAACCACAGAAAGTCCTGCCCAGGCTGGCAGTGTCCAGGAGAGAGTCTGAGCTTCCTGACACCCTGTGATTTTTTTGCCCAACTTAAGCTCCCTCTTGTATCTGTTCCGGCTTCTCAAACACACAGCTTCCCCTTGCTGCCTCCTACGGCAGTCCATTTCCTGGATTTGAACATCTCTGCACTCAAAGAAACAGCTCATTAGGAACCGCCGTGCCCAGGAGTGCGGCGCGAGGGGAGGAATTCGGGGAAGTTTGAAGACTGCATGCAGGAAGTGGGCCAGGCAACGGCACAGAGAAGAAATGGAAGAGCCTTCCAATCTTCGCTGGCTCCAGGAGCGCGCTGCTTGGGTACGTCCCCTCCGGCGTCCTTAAGCCCACATTAGGCAGTGACTGCTCTCTTGAGGAAACTCTTGGATACTCTCAAAAGGAACCTTGAGTCTCCTGGACAAATGAGCCAGGAAAAAATCATTATCATTCAAGATCACACCTCTGAACTTGTCAGCTGTGGTTCCCCTACATTGATTTTAAATGAATGCCTTCAGACTCCGGCACCTTCCTTAGGGAGGGGAGAACCTGTGCTCGGGGCCAAGCATAACCGGCATCTATAAAATCATAAAGGGAATGGAGAGTGAACACATCATTTTGAGGTATTAAAGCTATTTTTAATACAGAGGTGCTTGCATTGTTCCAGGTAGATCTCAAGCCACACTACCAGGACGGAGAAGCATTCCTCAAAGCTTATTATAAGTCCTGTTTTACACGGAGTAGTAAAACTTACAGCACATGTTACCCTAAGATTTGTTAAGGGAGTGAAAATGTTAGTAAATGAAAAAAAGCTTTGGGTAATGTCCCCACTGAGAAGTATATGATGATTGGCTCAGTGAGTTTAGGAAGTTTTAACCTGTAATATGGGTTTGCCTGTCTGTCTGTCTATCTATCTATCATCTATCTATCTATCTATCTATCTATCTATCTATCTATCTATCTATCTATCTATCTATCTCTATTTGCCATGAATGCTTTAGGATTTATGCTTTATTTAAAACTTCTTCTTACCATCCCTGTCAAGAGTCAAAGCACAGATGTCAGGAAGCATTCCAGATAAAAGTCAATGAACTAAAAGAACCAGTTTCCTTCATACTAGTTTCTGGAATACTAGGCTTATTTTCTGCCCCCCTGATGTCATGATATCCTGTTTATACTTCCAATACTGGAGTCTAGTTTTCAAGTATTGTGAGAGAGTGTCCCTAAGCTAAGCTTGTAAGTGCCCAGAAGAAAATTAAGAAAAAAGTTTATTAAACTTTTTCTTCATCATGTAACTAACAGTAGTTACACCACCACGTCACCATCTAGAGAATGGATCCTGCCCCTTGACTTCATTTGTTAGGTATCATTTTTGTGAACACAGGCTGCTATCCCTTTTTTTTTGGGGGGGGGGTAGAAATCTTATTCATGGAATAAAATACTAAATGGCATTCACTCACCTATCATGAATCAGGGCTTTGTTAAGTCCTCACTTACGCTTTGGAATTTAGTTGCACTACGTGTATACTCACAGGATGGCAAATCCACAAGAGGACTTCAGGGTAATAATGTTTCCCACTAGTCAGGGTGACAGTATAGTTGATTAGTTATTCTACAACATTTTGAGAGTTAGCAGTGGCACTTAGTTACAGTGGGACTAACGGTGCAAGTTATTGTGTAGTACTTGTAAAACAGGACTGGCAGTCCCCTCCCATCCCCCCACCCCTGCCACCAACACCCTGCTTTCTGAGATCAGGACACGAAGTCCGCAGAGGGGCTTTGTGGTGATGCCGGCATCTGGTCACTGACTTCCACCACTTTTTCTTTACTGCCTCATCATCTTATTCCTGGCATCTAGCAGAGTCCTTAATTAACTCTTTATATTTTAATCTCAGCTGCATCCTAGGAGGCCCCTTACCTTATAGAAATACTCCTATTATACGTTTTTATAATGAAATAATAGATCTCATCTTTGTTGTACTTATTTATCGCAGTTTTTATTTGCCATTCGATTTGTGGACTAGCTAAATTAATGCCTGTCCCTTTCTGTCCTATACATACACCATCACAGAGGCACAAAGCACGGTGCCTGGCAAATAGCAGGCACTCAATAAACATTTATTGAACAGAGAAGGGAACACACATTTTACTATGGGTATTTCATTTTGTCAACAGTGAGATTAACGACCTGCGTTTTGCAACATATTGTCTGCAAACATAATCATCCCCTCCAGCCTAATTTCTTATGCCATTCCTTCTGCACGAACCACTGTCTCTCATAAAGGTTGCGACATCTATCACAGTCCTTATACGTGTCATTTACTTGTGTACTTTTCTCTCTCTCTTTCCTAGACTGTAAGTACTTTGAGGTCAGAGACTCTCTCATTTATCTTTTTATCCCCAGTGCCTACTACAAAGCAAACTACCCAGAGGAGTTCCCAATAAATGCTTAGTGAATGAATAAAAAAAAACCAACATAATGTTTGAGCTGCCTACCATGAGAAATATATGACTGAACCCAAAGGACAATAAACCACCCATCAGTTGTTTGGCTCCTAGGGAAACGGGACCTCTCCAATGCATCAGGTGTTGAACGAAAAATTCTTTCTCAAACACTAGGGACTGAAGGTACTGGCAAGGTAACCGCCTCCCAGTGCAGGTTTCCTGTCAGCCCTCCCTCACCTCCTGGTAAGCGTTCGGCTTTCCAATTAGCTCTGCCTTTGGGGAAGGCCATGTGGCAGTCAGGAGGGTGGATTTCACTGGGGCAGTAGAGGGGCGGGGCCTGCCCACTGACACCAGGGCGACCAGCTGAGAGCGAGGCCGTCAGGCGCGCCTGGTTCCCCTGCCTCCATCTGGACGCTGCTGTCCCATTGTTCCACGCTCTCGCTGCGATTCGCCCTGCTGGGAGAACCGGGCAATCAAAGGGCAGGGTGGACATAAGGGACGCCCAACAGAGAATCAGGAGTAATGGGGGAAATCGTGCTCTAAACCCAGCTCTTGATGGGCTGCAGTGAAGGGGTACAGAGGACCGAGAAGGGGTGCTTCCTCAGGGGTCTGGCGGGACTAAGCGTTCCTTAGCAGTGGCGATGGCTACATCCTGTTGCATTTCAGGAAATCTCATTTCTTCACCTGTCAGCCATGACATATATACACACAATGGTGAGGCTGTCAGTTCCGATATGTCCTTCACTGAAAATTGAGCACTTACTCCATCGAGACCGCGCCGGACGTGGCAAACCAGGCCCCGAGCTCAGGGCTGGGTGAATGGGAGAAGTACTGCCTCTCCCTGCGTCCTTCTCCAGCGGGTGGGGGTGGGGTTCCTACGGGGCCGTGGATGGCGGCTTTAGTAAACCACGCAGCACAGGTCCCCATTCCCCTTCAGATCAGGAATTCTTCTGGGGGACAAGACCTGACTCTTTTAAGGCCTTTATACCACCCAGTCCTCAGCAGGGCCATGTCCCGAAATGGTTAACAAGTAAGAGAAGAACTGATGATGTTCTACACTGGGCCAGTTCTTTTCGTGGAAAACTCTTAACGCCGAATCAGCTCTGCACGTCTTTTAGTGGCCCCACCGCCCATGAACTGACTGACCGGAGCTCATGGTCACTTTGAAAGTTTGGCTTTACTTTGATAACCAGTGCTTTCCATGTACATGGAACCCAGGCCAAACGTTCAGCAGTAAAACCCCGTTTTGAAAACACTGGACAGATTTTTCCCCTAAAGGATGTCTGTGCAGTGAGTCCTCTGGTCGTGGGAGGACTTCATCTGGAGCGTGATCTCCCACAAAGTCCGACTGTTTTTCAAAGAGCACTTTAATTTCATTTAATTTTTAAAATGAGCATTAGCTCACTGCATGAAAACTTTAAGACCCAGAGAAACAGGGGAAAAAACAGTCCCTCCGCCTTATCCCAGGCTTATCTAAAATGCCAGGTTTGTCTCAGTGAGAGGAGAAGATAGCGATTTGGGTCTGAGGAAGATCATATAACTCATCAAAAATCAAGCATGACTTTGGGAAATAAATCACTCTTTTGGGTTAGCTGTCTTCATGCTGCTCTCTGCTGACTTCAGCCATTTACATGGACTGTTGGTGAGATATTTTGTTTTGCATGAGCAGGAGAATATGTCTGGGTATGAAGAAGGGAGGGAGCATTAGTTCTTATTTGTCACTTGGTGCTTCTCAAGACGTGATGCTGGGTCGCTGTACCATATCCACCTAAGGCCCTGGGACCGAGAATGTGCACTTTTGTATGCTCCCCAGATAATTTTGATGTGCAAGTTTGAAAGCCATTGATCTAATGTTTTAACACAGTAATTCCACGGGGGCGGGGCTCTTCTGCGGTTGCTATGACGTTCGCAGCATTTTTGGGTGGTAACTATGCAGAGCAAACCACCATCGGCCTGTTAGGATATGCAGTTTGGCACCATGGAGCATTCCTGCTTTGTTCTCTGAACGCTCCGTAATTGAAATAGTAAGACACCCTAACATGACCCCCTGTTTAGGTATTCCAAGTACAACGCAAGAGAAGGTGGACACAAGAGTCACGATATGGGTGGATGGGAATATGGATGGATGGGAAGGACTTGGCATGCAGGTGTTCATGATCTCCAACCCCGGGGTTTCTATTTCCCAAC